AATTGTTTTGGCATTAAAACAAAAAAAAATAAAAAAATATAAAAAAAAAAAAAAAAAAGATGACAGCGGCCATCAATAGGCTTCATCAGGGCTGGGCAACTTCGGTCCTGGAGGGCCACTGTCCTGAGTTTAGCTCCAACCAAGGGCGTAGTTTTGGTTTGAACATTGGTGGGGTTGAAGTGTGGACTGTTTTAGTGGAGTCCTGGGTCATGCTCCCTCATAAGGTTTATTTATTTGTTTGTTTGCTTATATGTTTATTTTTGTAAAATGGTCTTTTGTGCCATCATCCATACATGCAAAGATGGTTGATAACATAACTGCAATAAAGTAATAGCCTATTTAACAATAACTTGTTTACATTGGATGTATAATGTATTTTATATTATTTATAGGCTAGTTTGACAGAATGTTCTAATTCAACACACCATGGGAAGTCAATCTAACTTAACATTTTCTTATATTGATATTGTTTATTAATGCTTTTGGCTTGTCAAGAAAGTTAACAACATGCATGTATTTTTAAGTCTTGCCAGTTTAAGCATTCAAGCGATGTTAAACCATTCAAGCGCAAGAAGACGCAAAGGAGAACTACATTTGGTTTTCACGTTTTCTGTACGCGCTTTTGGAGTGATCCGCCCCTTTTCAGCACTGTGCTCATTGTCTTCTGTCTTCCGGTTTGTATTTCCACAGCAGGGAAGACATTAGGGATTTATGAATGAAACACTCATTTTCAAATTTTTCCGGTCTACTGGCATTGTTTCTATGGCACACAAGGTCTATACATGCTGCTGTCTGTGTCATTAATGATAATTAAAGAACAAAAGAAAAAAACATTATTCGTGTTCTTTTAATTTTGATAATCCATTGCATGTCGAAATGGAATGTTGTAACTGAAATGAAAACAAAAGGACAAAATCAGCAAAAGGATCATACAACTATACAAGATCTGCAAAGTTCACAGTGAATCAAAACTAGCAGTATGAAAGCAGCATAAAACCCCATTTACTACACATACTGTAGATTATGCAGTCACCTTCTCAGTTGCTTAAATAAAAAATGCAAATAGTAGTCAATCTATATTTCATTTAATGTCAGCTGGCAACTAAAAACTGCATATTAATAAACACGATTAATTTCATTCATGTATATTATCATGGTTTCACAGCCCAGCACCATAACTATCTGTCACTAGTTTGTATTGTTGTCACATGAATGATTGATGTTGAAATTAGAAAGAAATGAAAGAAATGAAGCAAGATCTAAAAAGCTTTTTAATATATATTTTATACATCAGCATAATATCAGCTACCTTGCAGTATAGATATCAATCAGCAATAAATTCACAATAAGCATTCACAATAAAATGAAATGAAGTTGTCATTGTTTCTGTAGTGAAACCAGTCAGTGGTTCATCTACCATGATTACACTTGTTTCAAACAGTACACTCTGTGTGAGTGATTTTCTGGACTCTGAATGCTTGTCACGTGTCAGTTTGTTCTCTTTCCCGGAATAGTTATTATTTCTCAGACATACAGTATACGCCTTTATCTCAAACAGCAGACAATGGTGTTATAGCAACAGACTATGGGTTCATATAAACCTTTAATTCAAATGTTGCTTTGAATAAAAGCATCTGCCAAATGCATGAATATAATTCTTTCATCAGATTTCAGAAAACTGATCTCAAGGTTGATTAACACTGTATAGAATTACACTAAAATCATTCTACCTCCAAATAATTTTATTTAAAAAACCAACAAACAACCCCTCCAATATATAAAGATGTCCTGCTGCAGAATAAGTTCATGTAACTTGTCTTACTCAAAGAAATAATGAATGCAGATCAGCTCTTTGTACTCTTCACCCACTTTACTAGTTTAACTGGTGTAACTTACCCATCAACAGAATCCAGATATTCATCTCTGGACAACATGACACGTCTTTATTTATTTAAATTTAGACAGTACATAACCACACCGTTCACACTACTAGAAAAATGCATGTTCAGAATTCCAAACTTCAGCTATTAACATTTACTGTACCGGATGTAAAACTGACATTGATTATAGACATTCCTTCTGAAAGTTAGAAAAAAAAAAAAAGAGCAAAACCAAACACAGTTTGAGCTTCGGTGTGCTTTTTCTTAAAGTTCACAAAAGCTTGAGTTCATTAAAGTCACATATACAAATATACACACTGATCAAACAGATTAATAATATACTGTTATTTCACAGAAATCAATATAGAACAGAAGCAGAGTTTTAAACCAACAACCAGAGTTATATATTCAGTAGTTTGAGATACAACAGAGAGTAGAGTATAGAGTTTGCTGGAGTTCAAATAAAGCTGTGTGTGTGTTTCATGAGCACCATATGACAACTCGAACAAAACCCATTTCGTCAATGCTATTATACCACATTTTCTGGACAATTACTGTTGTTATCGTCATATTTGGTGCACAGAAACATCCTCTTCTGGAATCTAAAAGATTTGGTGAAGTTTGATTTCTTGTTGTGAATGATTGTCATTATGAGGATGATGAGGATGAAGCAGCCCACAGCTGCAGCGATGACAGAAACGTTAGATCCAAGACGTGCTGATGGTCCTGATATGTTCATGATCTTGACTTCCGCTGTAAGGTACATTTAAAATCTTTTATAGCATTGTTTAAATCAGAAACACAAATTCAGCCTGTCAGACTGCAGACAGTCAGATTCTCCACAATATGATTTTGCTGCTAAGAATCTGATGAAAACTAAATCTCTACACACGCAGACCAAATCTAAAATCTCTAAAATATCAAATATGATGAGATTTGACACTGCTTAGAAATCTTATGTTTGCTTAGAAATCTTATCACTTTTTGTTGTCATGAAAAAAGTAAAGCTGCTTTTGAACGACATGCATTGTTAGAAACGTTTTATAAAGAAAACTGCACTCATTAGATAAACACTTATCCACCCACGAGAGAACCTGTCATTGCAAAATCTCTCCCTCATCAAAGGTAAACAGGTTTTTAATGGATTGCGTCACCTCCAAATGCACCTTGAGTCGTTAAACCACATGTCAAAATATGAATGCAGTTTGTAAAGATTTTCCATCAATACAAGCCACAACTGTTAAGTCTCGAGCGATGTGTTTCCAGTGTTGCTTTAGAGTAAGTTTCGCTCTGATAAACATGCATTTAAAATAGTTTTGAAATGATTGCTTTTGTAATGCAGTAGCAGAAGTACCACTGTGTCTTTCCAAGATTTTTCGAGTTCCTCACCCCATTGGACTCCAGCTCTCTGTGTCATGTGACAGAGAAGTATAAAGAGCTTGGCTGGTCCTGGAAGGTCTTGGACATGACTGTCTGTGCATATAAATCTCAGTCATTAAAAACATGTCACAAATTAAGACGTTATTGCTTGCTTATAATATATAACAGAATACATAATTGTTTCACATTAATTCTAATACAAAAATATGATACACAGGTTTGAAGAAGTTTCATTTGTCCATATTATTGATTTACAATTAATATTTACAAATGGTTTAACCAATAATATTCTATTTCTAAATCTCTTCTATTCAAATTTTAACAACATACAGTGGGTACGGAAAGTATTCAGACCCCCTTAAATTAAGATTTATTACAAGTTGTTTTGTAAATGAAATAGATCTCATTTCAATTTTCATGAAAAATATCTAAATATCCTTAAAATATACTCTTACATGTTAGAACTTTAGAGAATATATCTTCATTTAAGTTTATTTTAATTCACTTGCAAATAGTTTTTTCTTGTTTTAAACAGAAATCGAACCAAATTTAGAGAGGTTTGTGCTTAAAAATGAGAAAAATGTTTTTCAATGGGGTGAGAAAACAAACTTAATTCAAGACATATGCAAAATAGATCTAATTTGAATTGCCACTAGAAACATTTAAACAATCTCAAAATGTATATTTGCATAATGTTTTCAGAGTACATGTCTTGAATTCTGTTTATTTTTCTTAACTCATTCACAAATTAATTTCTTTCTTTTTTAATCTAAACAATAAATCTAACAAAAATGGTTGAGATTTCTGCTTAAAAACGAGAAACTATTTTAATGATGTGAGAAAAACTTCTAGAGTCTAGACAATATACAAAAAACTGTTTCTCAACAAAATTGATGTTTTAATTTTCAACAAAAAAAACAAACATCTAGACACTCTTAAAATGTACTTTTGCATACTCAAACTTGTTTTCAGAGAATATATCTTAAATTAGGTTTATTCGCACATGTTTTTTTCCCCTATTTTAAGCATAAATCTAACAAAATTGGGTGAGGTTTGTGCTGAAAAACTAGGGAAAATACAATCGGTAAATCAGTTAAGAAAAAAATTCAATACACAAAATTTGTTTCTTAAATTAATGCATCTCATTTTAAGGATGTTTAGAAAAAAGACAAAATTGACTGAGAAAATTAGTTTTGCGGTGTGAGAATACTTAGTGTTCAGTGCAAAAGACATTTTAGGGCAAAACAGGGTTTTGCGGAGCAAACGGACGGTGCATTTAGTGACTTTGATGTCCCTGTGCATTATTGTACAAATACAGATCGCTAATGCCGAGAACAACATGAAGAAATAACTAGTTGCATACGGGCTAGTCAGCTTTCTGCTCGTCTACCGCTCCTAAACACCACACGAAATGAGACGCCCTTATGACACACAACAAGCATGGTGTTTCACCGTCAGAAATACACGCATCCAAGACGTCGCTTTGTCGAGTGTTCGTACTTCTGACCATTTTGAGCAGAATTGGTGAATTTTAATATGTATTGTAAACAAATGAGTTATTTCTAGAAATGCAAAAACTAAAGACTTTCCAACACAATCATATCTTAAAGGTTCGACTTGGTGATTTGACTTGGTAGTGTGAGATGAAATGGCTTCGGGCAAGAAGTCGCAGAAGAAACCGAGAACTAGAAGGCAAAGGAAAGTTATGCGTTTTATATTTACGTTCCTCCGAATCCCAATCACGCTCTCCCGTCCAGATCCCATAGCACCTTGTGTTGTGACATCACCCAGCCATCAGCCAATCACAGAGTCAGATTCAGTCGGAATCAACACCCCTTCCTGATGGCACACAGAGCAGGAGGGCGCACACAGGAAAGAGAGAGACCTCACTTCCTCTCCAGTACAGCGAGCTTCCTGTGGATGGCGGTGGTGGCTTCACTTGCGGACGGCCTGCCGGTAGCTGTGTCTCTGGCCCTGACCGCGGGAGCAGCCGTTGTTTCCGTTTCCAGACGGTTCTTGTGCATCAGCGGCGATGCTTTGGCTCGCGCCGTCTCTGGTGCTGCAGGTCATACTGCTGTCCTGAAGCGTGGGGCTGGACTGAGCTCTCTGTAGCGCACCTTCCTCCAGGAGCATGGCCTCAAACACTGACAGGTCATCGTCGCCGCAGCGCTGCTTCGCCCGCAGGAGCATGCTGTACGTCTCATAGCGCGTTTTCTACGAGAGAGGGACGTTTTACTAACTTGATGAAAATGCTTTCACCCTCAGGTCATCCAGGATGTAGATGAGTTTGTTTCTTCATCAGATTTGGAGAAATGTAGCATTCAAGCTCACCAATGGATCCTCTGCAGTGAATGGGTGCCGTCAGAATGAGAGTCCAAACAGCTGATAAAAACATCACAATAATCCACATCACTCCAGCAACTAATGTCTTGAGAAGACAAAAGCTTTGTGTTTGTAAGAAACCAAATCTATCATTAAGATGTCCATAATGCCTAATGTTGCTTTCTACAGTGAAAAAGTCGTTCCGTCTGAATCAGGAGAGAAATCTGCACAGGACCAGGCACCATTTACAAGACAAAACAAATATGTGAGTGGATTTTGATGTGAGAGGACAACAGTAAATTGACTTTTTCACTGGAGGAAGCATTAATATGGACTCGTATTTTAGCCGGAAGCAGCTGGAATTCCTTAATGATAGATTTGTTTCTTACAAACACACAGCTTTTCTCTTCATAAGACGTTAACTGATGGACTGGAGTGGTGTGGATTATTGTGATGTTTTTATCAGCTGTTTGGACTCTCATTCATTGATCAAAAGACATTTATAATGTTTCCACAAAAATATGAAGCAGCTGTTTTCAACACGGACAATAATCAGAAATGTTTAAATGTTTCATCAGCATATCAGAATGATTTCTGAAGGATCATGTGACACTGAAGACTGGAGTAATGATACTGAAAATACAGCTGCGCATCACATTTTACCAATACATTTAAATAGAAAATACTGTAGTTGTAAGTATAGTCCGAAAATAGTTAAATTGTAATACTGTTTTTACTGTATTTGTGATCAGATATATGGTGACCTTGTTGAGCAGAAGAGACTTCTTTCAAAAACATAAAAAAATATTACCAACCCAAACTTTTGAATGATAGTGTATATATTTACCTCAAACTCCAGATACTCCTCTCTCAGCCGGTACTCCTCGAGTTCACGACCTTTCACCTTTCTGTCAGGCGGATAAGAGCGCAGTTGTGCAAGCTCAGTGGAGATGGAGCGAAATCGAGCTTCATGAGCCTGTCCCTGCTCCTCACACACACACACACACACACACACACACTTTATAACACTGCAGTTTATATAAACACAGATTACAAGCACACATACAGCACATGCACAGTCACTCTTATGAATCATAACAAGCCTCCTTGCTCTCTACTGCCTACACAGGTAGCTGTCTTTTAAGGAAGCATCCTAACTGAAATCAATAAGTGATACATGTCATGGAAATGGGCATCATGTAAATAGGTAAAATAATTATTAATATTTATTAACTAATTATTTTATCAAATAATTACACTTTACAACAAGGTTTCTTTTATTAACATTAGTTATCTGTATTAGTTAAGATGACCTAACGATAAACAATACTTCTATAGCATTAATTCATCTTAGTTGAGGTTAATTAATGTAGTTAACTAATGCTGACAAATGAAACCTTACTGTAAAGTGTTCCGTTTATTAATATATATTTATTACTATATTCATCATATTATTTATTATTATAGGACTTTATTAAGTCTTTAAGTATGAAGACTTAATGAAAACATTTGTGACAACTTTTATGCAAATCAGCTGATTTGACCTGTGACAGCTTGGAGGCGGAGCCTGGCAGCAGCGGTCGACTGAATTTCTTCTGTGAGCCAATGGCAGCAGGGAGGGGCGGGGCTGAAAACATGGCCGCCACCGTGTTGATGCGTGTGATCCAAGACTGCATTTGTTCAGCATTCCTACACAAACAAATCAAATCCATGTTAATTATAATAATAGAAAACATCTAAAAACATCTGCAACATTTTCTTCTCTTCATTATTAGTAATAATGCATAAACCTTTGAAGACAGACGTACAATGAGCTCTGTAGTTGGTATAGTGGTGGCCAAAATGATTAGAACATTAGTATTTTCAGCAGCTAAAAATGGTTAAGTCAGTTATTTATATCTTTTGCTGTAGTGTGTCAGAACTAGGAAATATCAGTTTACATTTACAAACTTTCATTTTGCCATTAATTGTTATAATCCAGTGAGATTTTGTCTGAAAACAGCCAGAGCTCCACAGAGCGATCTGATCTCATCATCATCAAAAGCTGCTTTAAACGCAGACTTAAAACCATTTTTAGCTGCTGAAAATACTAGTGTTCTAATCATTTTGGCCACCACT